TACTCAAAACACGTCTATCTTTTCTTCTTGAATGCAGTAAAAGATTTGTCCATAATTTTCGATAGTTAAATTATGCATCTATTAATGTGCAACAACATAAGAAGCAAAATATAGAAGTTGGAGATTAACCCAGGGTATAACGCCTTCTTTATATTTGGGGTGTTAATTTAATATTAAAAGTTATCAATACAGAGATGATGATAGTTGCAATAACTTCAGATGAGGTTTATCCTGGTTATGATTAATTTCTCTGTATTTTCACCACTACAGACTGTCATTTGATCCAACGATTGAAAGTTTTTTTTAACATTGTCTTAAAGGTCTATCAGTGCTTTTTTTGTGGTGAAAAAAAAAGTAAAATCACAAAAATACTGAACGCTGAGGAAAAGTCAAATCGGAAAGTCCCTAATCAAATGGCAAAATCAAAAGATAATGAGTAAATGCATTTTTTTTGGTTCTTTGTTAAAAAAAAAAGATGTCATTTAATTTAAAATTTAAGATTTATAATGAAATAATTTTCCTAAGACATTTAAATTAAAATTTAAGATTTATAGTGAAATAATAATTTTCCTAAAATTTTTACATTTTCAAAGCATTGTAGTTGTCAGATTATAGAATAACATAGTACTTGAAATTGATTTAAACTCAGTCTAGTGCATGCAAAGTTCCGAAGCAAAACATTCTTTATCTTCAGAGTTTTGGTGTAGACTTAACAAATATCAAATGATCATTTCAGAAATACATTATGCTTGGAGCGCTGCGTGTCTTTACTAACAACAAAGTTGCTTATTGGTGTTGAAGTAGTAGGGTTGGTTATATCTTCTGTCTGTTTCAGTTGTTCTTTGGATGGTTCTTTGGTTTTGAGGTATTTAGGGTGTGGTGTTTACCATTCGAAGGAATCTATATATGTAATTCTGAAATGAAAAATATTTGATATTGCTAGTCAAAAAAAAAATAATCAAATGTTTGAGCATAAAGCTGCTTTGAACTTTGAATCTGTACGATTTTCATACTTTCTTTAATTTCTTATTTTCAAAATTGAAAATGAATATCTTCAATCAAAATCAAAATCTAAATTGTATTTGACATATTATGATGTAATGGAAATGGAAAACTAGATAACATATTCTCGTAAATTAAGTTGCATTCAGGGGAAGTGGAAAATGATCCCAAAAGTTTTTTAGATATACTTTATCTTCTTCAAAATTGTTTCTGGGTATCTACATCTTTAAAGCACTGATCGCTATTAAGATAATAAAGAAGTAAAAATACATTTTTATAGCAGTCAAGCCATAACGAAAATTCTGCCATACAAAAAAGAATTTGGATGTTTAATCTACATTTATTATAGAGTTATAAACATAATCGCAAAGGTTATTAATTCTTACATGACTGAAAGCTTGTACAAGTCTTTAATATTTGGTGAACAATAATAAATTTCTATGATATATATATTATTATCACAATTTTACTGAATTTTCCTTTGATCTTACTGATAATTTCCTTTCTCAGCATAGTAGAAAGATATGGAAAGTATCTCTAGAAACTAAGGCTGCACGTGCCATTGTCAATGTAAATTTCAACGTCGTCATAAGCAAAATAGCGATAAACAGATTATCATTGGTCATCTCAACTTGATTGTTTTTCTCACTTTCCCGGTACTGGCTCAAGGGAGAAAATCAATCTCGTTGAGATGACCAACGAAATTTATAATGATTTCCAATACCCTAAAAACTTCATTTTGAGTTATCTGAAACTATCATCATCTCCAAGTGAAGAGTTATCTAACTTATCAATCCCTATATCTTACAGTAGTTATCTCCCTTTGCTTCAAGCTTCTGAACCTTGGGTTAATTTTCAACTCTCACCTTCAACACTAGGTTTTCATCCACAGATTCCAGACATTTAATGATAACTTCATTATCATGAGACCATAATTGACAACTGGTATTAATGTTTTAATTTTACTTGTTGGTCCCATTTAACAATTGCTCATCGTAATTTGTAAAATTAAATTGTCTTGAGTTTAAGCATTTCTTTGTAAACATTTCCTGTTTAATAGAAAATTAATCTTTTTAAATTCCCAAGCCATTCTGTGATCAATATATTAAAGGATAATTTTGTCCAGCTTCTTGAAACAATTTTTCTTTTTTGCAATCAAAAGTATTGACAGTGAGCAGGATCATTTCAAGATCACAAAAAAGGAGCTGAAAACTGGTCTATTTTATTCTATTTGTCATGTGTACATGAAAAGGAGTAGATTGTACAACACAAAAATTTCAAATTTCAAATCATGAGTTTGTTGAAATATAGCTCATTTTATACAATTTAGATCTTTTATTGAAAAAGGTATTAGACTGATCTTAACCCTATAATACTGTTTGAATTACAACATAAATAAATTTGCTCCTTGGTATCAAACCATTCTATCTTTTTCAAATTTGGTAATTACAATATACATTTGTAGGTAAAGCACTTGCCATCATAAAATACTTTAAAAAAATAAAATAAGTAAAACCCAATTATCAATAACTGACTGCAGCTATTCTTCATTGGATCCTTTTTGAAACTAATGGCCAGACAAAGAGTAATCTAAGAGCTTGACTCTTTTAACAGGGATCCAACTTTAGCCTAATTAGTTCAAAGGAGTTTTCCATTAGTCCATAATAATTAAGAAATAATTATTGCAAGCTATACTTTATTGTAGTTTTAACATGGATAGGCATTATATACATGATTATTTTTGCCTGAGCGATAGCATACAATCAGTTCTGTTAACCAAGCAGTTTTAGATTTATATTAGACCCTGTTTCAGACTTTGGGGATTTAATCACTAAAAAAGTTAAAGATAACCAGACTATTTTAGATTTAACTGGTTATCTGTTTTCTTTTCCCGGTAGCAAAAACGAGCTGATTCCTGTAAGTCTGTATATTGGCTGCTTCTGGTTCTTATCCATTTAAGGAACAAATGATTCCGGAGAGTGCAGTAACCTTGCCTCAGTCCATTATTGTCAAGATATCAGTGATTTTCCTTTTTTTCTGACAAAAGTCATTGGAAGTAATCTTACATAAAACAAATTTTGATATAACCAATCAAAAATGCTATCATAAATAATCTGGGAACAAAAAATTTTACTTTTTCAATTGTAAATTTTGCTACTATTTTTCTTTCAAGTATAAAACTAAAGTAAAAAGTAAAAATCTATTTTATTGAAGTATTACGTGCCATTTGAGTTTTAAAATTAATTTAAATTATAAAGTATTGAAATTAATTTTTATTATAAAGAATCAGTATTTATATCATTTCTTTGAGTTCTTAATTTTTTCTTTCTAAATTTTTTTTATTAAATCTTAAAGATTTCATACTTGATACATGTAATATCATTTTGCATCATATTTGTATTTTTTCATTTCAGCTTCTTTTTCTTGTACCACTGAAACTTCACAATAATTGCGTACATTTTGAAGTTGTGTACCTGCTTACATGAAATTGTTTGAGGAATTTCCCCCCATTTTTCCCTTAATTCTGATCTTGATGATTGTTTTCCAAAATTTTCAAAGATGGTACTGATTTTGTGTAATCAACTCCTACAGTTTTCAATCTCAATCTTTTTAACTTCACACAATGATTGTACAAATATTTAAGTTGTCCACTTGGTACTATGGAATTGTTTGATACTTTTTTTCCTGACTTGGGAACTAAGTAATTTTTCATCAAAGGTAAAATAAATAGTTTTTAACCCATATCTTTTGGAATTCACAGAGAGTTTGCAAATCTATAGAGGCTTTTACAAATTTTGGGACTATACATGACTACTATGTACATGAGTAGTAAACCTTGAAAATGAGATATTTTTGATTAAACTATGCTTCAAAATATTTAAAAAATGTTGATTTATATGTGTTTATTATACTATTACTACACTGTACTTTTTTTCTTACATTGGTATAAGTATTTTCATATCAGATGTCTGGTAACTTATAATTAAAAGCTATTATCTAGAGCTCTGTAAATAAAAAAAATTGTAAACATAGTTCTAAAATATACTTTTAATGAGTGGAAGAAATTGTGGGGTACAGAATACATTTCGTAAATTATCAAAATACAAGTTACCTGTTTAAAAGCATGTCTGGTATTTTTACAGTACTTTTTAAATGAATTTAATAAATTATTTGTATTTTGAATTGAGAATTTCTTCAGTTTCCATGATTGGAAAAATAATGTGAGATGCCTTGGAACATTCTGGTGACTATTGTACATTTTATAATGTACAATGGAAAGGACATTTCATTACTTAGATAAAATGGATTCAGTGGACTGATTAGCATAAAAAACTATGATGGAAAACCTTTGAAAGCAGCCAGGATAGCAGCTCCAAGGAAGATGGTCAAATAAATCTTCAACCAAGTCTGAGGCTTTACCAAGAAATTAAGAAAGCAAGTTTATTTAAGCCAAATATTTGTATACATTTTCTAGAAAATATTCGACAAGAAGTGCATATAAAGACAACACGCCAGCACCCTTCTGATCTTCTGCATGCATAACACCATTGATGTATTAATTTTAATAAGTTGTATAATTTAAGTTACCATTTTCTTGAACAAGATTTTCGATCAAAATATTTAAAATTTCAAGGGGAGACAAATACAATTAACAGCAAGATTTGTTCATTCAATGGGATATAACTGTTAAATTTGCACATCACTTTTGTGCAGTTAAATTCCAAACAAAAACCTTTGACTTGTTTTATTTTTATTATGTCAAGTTTTCTGTTTAGTCAGGTTAATAGTTACTCCTTGCTATAGATCAATGACATTTTGTATTTATTTGCATTACTAACAAGTTATCGAATTAAGACATCCCTGTCAGCAGTTTATCTTACAAACGTGTTGATACTATTGTGTACATTTTGTAAGAGATCAGAACATTATATAGTGACTTTATATTTATAGAGGAATGGATTTGTAAAATATATAATATGTCTTTTTTAATTCTTTTTAGGTTCTTCTGTGATATGTTTTCATGGTGTGGGAATAAGACTTGGTGGTCTAATACAGCTAATACCAAGGTATGTGCCAGTATGTTAGTCCTGTTTTGAAAAAAGAAAAAGTATTATAAAATGTATTTGGAAATAGCATGTGCTCTAAGCGTGAAGGTTTGTAGGAGTTTGGTAAGAAGTCTTTGCTTTCTTTAATTGCCTTTAAAGGAGTAAATTTAATTATCTGATTTGATTATGTAAAAGTTTGTTGGGATGCTTGTTTGCTGTTCTCAACTTCTATTACATATTTATAGACTTTTATTTAATTTGCCACTGGAATTTAGCAACCAACAATCAAATGAATCAATCATTCAAAATATGGAATATACATACAATATATCAAAAATGATCCTTTTAAACAATCTTGAATGACTAATCATTTTATTTTTCAGGTTAGCATCACAGCTTGTCTGTAAAGATAGAAGCTGGGAGTGGGCATTGGAGCTTACTTTTATGGTAAGAACCAATACAAAAAAAACAATATGCAAAAAAAGAAATATGTTAGACGCCTGTACGAAATGGGACGCCCGTAAATGACACGGAAACAAGGCGTAGAAATCATACTCTATCAGGGCGTCATTGTAGTGTTTACGGAATGCATGTCCAGGCGGAAACCAAGCGTAACTAAGGCGGAAACCAGGCGTAAAATTAGGCGTAATATTTAAATGAGTATGCCTGGTCCACAGAAAACCAGGCGTTATATGCAAATGAGTACGCCTGGTCAATAAAAAAACCAGGCGTAATATCCTTACATAATACTACACTTATTTTAAATCAGTGTATTACCCTAGCTGTGTACTTTTGTGTATTTGATACAAACTTTTGTACTATTGCTTAAATTTCTCATTGTTTGACATGAAACTTGAAATGTTAACCATTAATTGAAGAAGCTATATAAATAAATACATATTAGACAGACACTGGCTCAAATAAGTTTTAGTTTAAATTAGAATTATGACAATTAATTCTTCCTGAAATAAAACCAGCATTTTAACTAAGTTTTTTTGAAAATTAATGTCATTTTAACCAAAATATCAATGATAATACTGCAATTTAACTTAATGTGAAAGATTTTAATGTTATCATCCAAGGATGAAGGTTTTCAGAATTCAAAATTACTGTTAAAAAAAAAAACTTAGTTACTCACATAATTATCTTTTACCATGTATATTACTTTCCTTTTATTTCACAATTTTCATTAATCAATTTGATTCCATAATTCCAATTTCTTCCAAAAAGCACAAAACAAGCTTAATTATCCCTGAATATATAAAGCTGCCATAAGTCCAACTCTTGCAAAATAATACCAAAGAGCCAAATTTTGAAAAAAAATCCCATGATCCTTTATCAACAAAGCATTATGGGTATTATGATTTACGCCATACCAACAGTTTTACGCTCGTAGGAAAATTTACGCCTTGCTTATTTCAATTTACGCCAGGTTTACCATATTTTCTACGCCCGTAAGGACTACAAATTTACGTTTCCTGTTCCCTTACGCCTGGATCTGGACACGTAACTACCACTTACGCCTGGTTTACGCCAGATTTCCAGGCGTAATACGCCTTATAATTTCGTACAGGCGATCTACCATTGACTTGTTTTTCATCCTTTTCTGCTAATAAAGACTGGTAATTCAAAAAATATATCAGCAAATCACTTTTAAACAAAGTAAGGGAAAGATTTTATGAATCATGATTATAATGGCCAGTTATTTATTATTTTGCAAGATATTGTTTCAACTTTCAGATTTTGACAATTACGTTTAATTCTGTATATTTCTTTTTCAGGTAACTGTGGCTGCATAAAAGGGCTATGTGATTTTAATGTAACAGTAAAGAATGTAATTCAGACTATTTTTGTGTATGTTTGAGAAAATGTTTATAATTTTTACAAAAAGAAAAAAAAAATTATGTACAGTTTCTTCATTTTCAACAAGATTGGAAGTTGTAGGTTAATAGGTCTTTGAAATTTCAAAAATAACTTTCTATTTTCTGTTCATACTCATGTCTAGGCAAAACACTTCCAGTAGTTTAAGAATGGAGAATCTAAAAAAAAATAAAAAGAAAAGAAAAAAAAAAAAAAAAAAAAATGTTCAATTATTGAAATGTTTTTTATTTTTGCAAATTGTAATATATTTTTTCACCTTTGTGTCATTTTTAGCTGAGTTTATAACAAAGGGTATATTATTTTAAGAATATTTTACAAGAAGCATAGTTGAAGAATATCTTGATGAAAGTAGATTGATTGATTTTTGGTATTTAACACCACTTTCAGCATGATTTGCTATATCTTGGCTACCAGTTTTTATTTGTGGAGACAGCCTGGTGAAAACATCCCCTTCAACAGAGAAACTGGCAACTCTAGTCAATTAAGATTGACCTTAAACACACCTACAATGTGAGGGTTCAGAGTGTTGACAGGCTAGTGATACAGTAGTTGAACTACTTTGACCATTCAGCCACCATTACTCCATCCGCACTAAATATGTTATTGAAATGTGTTGAATTTTTGTAATTTAATTATTTTTTTATTTTGATTACCAGTATACTATTTATGTTTTTTTGTTATATATAACAAAGATGTGGAGTTCTAACAGGGTGAAATTTAGGTCAAAGGGAGGTAATTTATTATACTGTGTTTAACTTCAAATACTTGAAATTCCCTCAATGTTAGATTTTTATTTACTTGGATACTCACATTTATGCACTTTTTTTACATATCAGATGTTTTCTAGATAATAGAAATTTAGGGTGGGAAAAATTATGTGTAAAATAAATTATGTGAAATTTTTCAAAAAGTTTATTAATTGAAAGTGCATCTGATATTTTTTTATGTATGTTACTTTATTTTCTAAAAACAAATGGACACAACATAGATTGACAATAAGATATTGAGAATAACCACCTTGTCAGCCAGGATAGCAGCTCTTAGGAAGATGGTCAATTAAATCTTCAACCAAGTCTGACTCTTTACCATGAAAATAGAAAAGGCAAGTTTATTTTAGCCAGATCTTTTAAGATAACAGACCCTTCTGAAATATTGCATTTAAAACACCATTAATGAATTAATTTACCAGTTTAGTATTTAAAGATACAAGATACATGAACAAGATTTTCTATTAAAATATCAATAGCAAATCCTAAAAATAGTCATTGAACTCTATTTAAAACACGATTTTGCATTCAATGGGAGATAACTGGAAAATATTCAGATATTTTTTGTGCAGTTAAAATTTAAATCTGACGTTTTTTTACTTTTCTATCTTTTATATTGATTTAAAAAAAAATGATTTTATACAATTGTCTACCTGCAATAAGAAATCAGAACAATATTTAGTAAATTTTAGGTTATCGGTAACACACAAATTGATTTACAAAATGTATAATGTGTTGATTATAATTTCATTTCAGGTTCTTTCTGAGACATGTTTTCATGGTGTGGGAATAAGACTTGGTGGTCTTATACAGGTAATACAAAGGTATGTACAAGTATGTTAGTCCTGTTTTGGAAAACTCAAATGTATTTTAAATATTTTATGGAAAAACTAAGATTTGAACGCTTAAGATTTTTTACAGGAATCTACTCTTATTAATATATCAGTAACAAATAAGAGTAAAGTTTAGGATCTGAATTGTTTACATAAAAATGTGTTGGCTTGTTGGATTGCTGTCTCATTCATATGTTCTTGACATATATAACACATTTTAAGACTATTTCTATTCAATGATTTGCCACTGGACCTTAAGCAACCTGAATAACCAATCATTCAATCTATTCAATATACATACATAATACCAAAAAACCTTTTAAACAGTTTTTATACACCTGTTTACGGCAAGGCTTCCAAAGCGGTCATATATTCCGGACATTTGTATAATGTCCGGTAAAAGTCCGGCTGGGCAAAGCACAAAATGGTCATCTACTTTTTAGATTTCAAGGCTTTCTTAAGAGATGGTCATTTTAACATAATTCACGATCTTTTTGACCCAACCTTTTGCCTTTAACAGCCACATATTTCCGGTCATAAAAGTGACATGATCATTAAGTACTATCAAAACAACCCCTACTTTAATACCTTCTCATTTTAATCAAGGCTAATTAGTTGCCGAACAGCTGAAATTTACCTGTTCAGGTGACAGGTAAACTATTTTGAACCGGACATTGATCGGTCTATTCAAAGTTATTTTCTTACATTTCACCGGTTTGCATCTAATTAATTTAGTCAAAGAGATTTAAATTATCAGAAATACATTTACAAAAAAGATTTGATGAAAAAATTAAAGAGGTGAAAATGAAAAATCGTCATAACCACGTTGTTTGAACCAGAGACATGTCTCTGTTTGAACTAGTACACGTGTACGCATGTGCATGTACGCAGGTGTGAAATTTAATTATGCATCCTAATTTCTTTAAAAAATGCTTAAATTGTCATTGATACCTTTATCTCACGTTTATTTCGAATATTTTCTTGAAGAAATAACGTAGAATGAGCTACTTACACTCATTCATGCTTTGCAAACGTACACGGAATTTACGTATCCGTCTCTGGTCCATGTTTTACCATTGTCAAGATAACATCCGGTTTCAGATTTAAAAACGAAAGTAAAGTTTCTGACAACGTTATTTTGCACAAATAAAGAGTCTAAGGCAGATTATGTACGCTGATGTTGCACACTTCGGATGATGCACTGCCAATTTAACAGTTTACTTCAGAACTTCGAATTTGAATCAAAGAAATTTTAATATCGTTTTTTTTAAATATCAATCATTGGGATGGCCAACTCGGCAACTGATTACCATAATTGCCTTTTGTTTATTTAGTCTTAAGGGATTAAAATCGGGATAATATATAAAATGTCCGGCTGGCTAAAAATAATTTTGGAAGCCCTGGTTTACGGGACGTATTATGGTATACCGTTGTCCGTCTGTCGTCAACATGTCGGACATTAACTCAAAAAAGCTTCAACCAATTTGCATAAAACTTTGGTGAATTGTTTATATCTATTGACATGAGCTCCCTTTCGATTTTTATAAATTTTAGATTTAACGTTTCCAAGTTACAGGGTTTTATTAATGAATTATTAATTAACTACACTGTTATTGGACTTAATATGATGAAAACTGCCTATGCAATATAAAGGTGTCAACTCGGCCAATACAGAATAACTCGGCCAATATAGATTTTTTTTCTGTATTGGCCGAGTTCTGATCCGGCCAATACAGGATTTCGGAACGTCTCTAGTTTTTAGATCGAAAGTCACGATAAACACAAACTGAAAGTAAACAGTTGTTTGGAAGACGCAGTTTTCATTTACTCACCATAAACATGCTGAAACGTTCAGTATGGCATATATTTCAGGCTTAAGACGGTCACATTCATTTAAAAAGCATTTTGAAAGCAGACGATGGAATTATTTCAGGTTTGGGAAACGAGTAGATTATCACAAAGTTCATTTCTTGTCGACCTCATAATTTCACGATGGTACAAATCGATTTACTGTTTACTTTCGCTTCTCATGTTTTGTAAACTGTCATTTATTTTTAAACCCGAACCAGGCATATGCATTCTGGAAGGGTGACCTGTAATTGTGCAAATCTTCGTTCTTTGGTCAGTTGGCTTATGGATAGTTGTATCATTTTCAACTCCTACATTATTTTTTCAGTTTGTTTCTGCATAACACATGCAATGGCAGTACCTTTCCAATTACTATTTATGTGTTGTGTCTAAATTTAAATTGTAACACTTTATAGTGACTGGAAAGGGTAGAAAAATTCAGCAGATGAGAAAATGCTGAAGACACCTGGAAACGACACCAGATCATTAGATAGAGCATCTTATAAAAAGAAACTGAGATTTGGATAGTTCCACTTCAAGGTAAAAATGTTTATCTCTTGTGAAATGAAATAAAAAAAATATTGTAACACTGTAGTTAATTAATAAAGATACTATTACGTGTATTTCTGTATTGGCCTTGTTATTGGTCCTCGGCCAGCTGTATTGGCCTTCGGCTTCGCCTCAGGCCAATATAGCAAGCCTCGGACCAATAACAAGGCCAATACAGAAATACTCACGTAATAATATCATATTATCATTATATATTTCAGGTTAGCATCACAGCTTGTCTGTAAGGATTGAAGCTGGGAGTGGGCATTGGAGCTGACTTTTATGGTAAGAATCAATACATAGATTTATGAACTTTTCATCCAAGAGCATTTTAAAGCCCAAGATTTTTGTTAGGCACAGATGTAAATCTTACATATTTATGTCTTCTTTACTTATAGTTGAATAAACTATTTAGAAGTAGATATAAAGATATATAAGGGAAGTCAAAAAGTATAATGTATAATTTGAAATCTTGGGATTTCAGTTTTTTTGTTATCTATAGTTGTCCCCATATATGAAAATATGTAAGTGTGGTATGTATGCCAATAAGACAGCTATCAACCAGAGACCAAATGATGTGGATGCAACTAAATGTCACCCTATGCCTTCAACAATGAGCAAAACCTATATTGTATAGTTAGCTATAAAGATTCAACATGACTAAATGTTAAAAAATTCAATCAAGTATGTTAATAGCCTGATATACTATATATAGCTATAAAACAATGTTAAAAAGATATTTGTCAAGACATCAGCCAATGACTTGTTTTTCATCCTTTTATTGCTAAGAAATACTGGTACTTTAAATTTTATGTCAACAAATCACTTTATAACAAAGAAAAAGAAATGTTCTATACATTATAATTGTAATGCTCAGTTAATTATAATTGTTTTGCATTAAATATTATTTCAGTGTTCATGAGTTATGTATATTTCTGTTTTAGATAACTGTGGCTGCATAAAATGGTTGTGTGATATAACTGCAACAGTAAAGAATGTAATTCAGACTATTTTTGTGTATGCTTGAGAAAATGTTCATAATTTTTTTACAAAAAAAAAAAAAAAATATGTAAAGATTCTCCATTTTCAACAAGATTGGAAGTTGTAGGTTAACTTGTATTTGACATTACAAAAATTCTTTCTATTTTCCGTTTATACTCATGTCTAGTCAAAAAACTTCCAGCAGTTTAAGAATGGATAATCTA